ACCTGAATGTTTCAAACAGGCTTATTTCAAGGGGTTACCTTGTTAGCTTGTCCCATGTTTTGATCATAATATTTTATTGACTGTCTGCTGAAATACCAAAAGAATGAAATATCATGATAACAATATCTTGGTCCAAAAAAAAAAATTCCTGGTTCATTTTCAGGCACTAGACTGGTGTCCATTTCAACGTAATGTACTTGCTAGTGGTGGCGGAACTGCTGATCGGCACATTAGGTTTTGGAATGTTAGTACTGGAAACTGTCTCAGCAGTGTTGATACTCATTCACAGGTAATTCACCTGCCAGAGACCCTAATATAGTTAGACATATTCTCCATCTTTACAGTCCTGTTCTAAAACGCTGAAAAGGAGAATGTTTAAAACTTTAAATTGCCCAATATCTCATTGATCAGTGACTCTCCTTACTGTCTCCCGTGAAATTCTTCTCATGTTAGTTTGGAGAAATTGGCAGTGGATCAACTAGTTGCATGACTGACATTTGTCTACATTCTCATCACTTGCCTGCTTGACATTGCTTCCATGATGTAAGGAGAAATGCTGTCTTGGTCACTGAGCAAAGCAGGCTAAACCACAGGAGTTAATCCATGTGGCATAAGGTAACCATCACTACATCCCATTTCAGTCTACAACTGACCCACCTTATTGAGCAATGAGGGATCTTCAGCGTTATGGCCTTCATACAGGGATTTTTGTTGCTTAGCTTGTGTGGGACAGTATGAGTCATAATAAGTGAAGGTACAAAAAAATGCAGCAATCAGAATGAGGCTTGGTTATAATCTTCTTCATATTTCCCAGGTGTGCTCTATATTATGGTCAAAAGAAGACAAGGAACTTGTCTCCAGCCATGGTTATGCTCAAAACCAATTGACTGTCTGGAAGTATCCATCAATGGTCAAAGTAACTGAGCTGACGGGTCACACATGTCGCGTTCTCCACATGGCTATGAGTCCAGACGGACAGACAGTCGTCTCTGCTGCTGCCGATGAAACTCTGAGGATATGGAAGTGCTTTGCTTCTGATCCTGT